AGCGGAAGATCAAACTAATCATACTTACACCATAGATAATCATACTTATACCATAGATACCTGTTCTAGGTACCTGCAGCTTAAGTATCCTAAATCAATTTCACATTATTGCCTCATCTACTAGTGTTAAATTAATTTTATAATGTGTCCTTGTGTAATAGTTCGGTAAATCTAATAAATAAAATATTATTTTAACAAGCTATATAGTGTACTATTAGGTATTGGTCCACCATCGTTATTCATAATATTATTATGTTTACTAATTGCTAGGCTCTCATAGGCATGTAGATGCCTGTTGCTGTTAACTTGTCTAACTAATCTTGAATAGAAGTCTATGGAATGGTTTTGTTGCAAAATATGATGGGCGACTGCTGTTTTTTCAGGTCTTCCATATTTTAAGTGTGCTAAGTGTTCCTTATATCTTACTTTAATAGATCTTTTTGTCTGTCCATGATATTTTGCATCGCAGTCCTTACATTCAATTTCGTAAATTCTAGACTTTTCCGAATTCTTGACTTTGTCTTTTGGAGTTTCTAAAAGGCTCTGTAGTGTTTAATTTTTTTTAAAACCACCTTCATACCTAGTTCCTCGAAAATCCAAAGATCTTCGTGTATTGGTGGTATGGAACAGAGATATATTTATCTTGGTTTTTGCCCTTTTTAAAATTTGAGAATTCGTTCATTCTCAACCTAAACTTCTTCCTTATTATGTCATCTACGATATTAGTCAATTCATATCGAGGTGCAAGATGAGATTCAGTTATAATTAAGTACAATTGAGGAAGCGATGAGTGATATATCACTTGTTTCGGTTTCAGAAACAAAAACGGAAAATGTAATTCTGATAATTCAAGATAGATGTGAATTTTAGTACATATAAGATGAAATGAAGTGTAAGGATATCACTACTTCATCATTCTGATCAAAATGACCCTGTCATGTTATATTTTGATATTTTATACAAATTCATATCTGTTATTCCAAAGTCGAAGCCTACGTTAATGTCATATGTATTTTGAATACCCTTAATGTTTCGTTGTATAAATTTGAGATTATAATTTGTTTTATTTATTTGCTACGATAAACTTGTATTTCTTTTTCACGTTAAAAACAAATATAAACTATGCAAAATCGCCTGGAGGAAAATAGCGTATAGGTAAATGTGTTTATTAGTATTTGAGTTTGAAATGTTTCAGAATATGAAACATCAAAGTTTACTCGATCAAATTTGAACGAGTTTTCATCTTCTTCTTGGTGAGCCCAGATGGATTTGCTTGTGATGTTGGCCAAGATGTGATTTTCTTCTCTTGGTTCGGACTGTGAACAGTATTACTGTGGTCGACTTTTTGGTCCCGATGTAAGTTGGAGCAGAATCGAGAATAACGACATTTTCAAGTATTTATTGGCAGTAAAAACAACGGCCGCAAGTGCTGACGGTATCAACATAAGATTCATCATATTATGTGGCCCGTCCAAAATTGAATATATCTCTCACGTCTTGAACTTCTGCATGGAATATTCAGTATATCCAACTCAGTGGAAATTAGCTAATGTGATCGCATTACCGAAATGTTGAGGTTGTCAGTGAGCTCAAAGACCTGAGACCAATCAGCACTTTACCCGTTGTCTCAAAATTATTAAAAAGAAGTATAAAAGATCAACTTGTGGAATTCTTGAAAACATATAATATTTTGCCGGATACTCAATCTGGATTCAGAAAAGGACACAGCTGCCCGACAGCCCTTCTGAATGTGACAGATTGTATCTTCCAGGCAACCGACTCGGGAATGATTACCGTTCTAGTTCTCTTAGACTATTCGAAAGCTTTCGATACCCTAAATCATTCTGCTCTGAAACATATACTACGATATATTGGACTCTCCGAAGAATCTGTTATGTTATTTGATAGCTATCTAAGTGGTCGAAAGCAACGAGTTGTACTCAATACCAGGGTTTCTCAAACTGCATGTGGGCCTCCACAGGGATCCATTTTGGGACCAATTCTCTATGTAATTTTCACAGCATTCTTCAAAATTATTGTCCCGCATTGTTATCTACAAATGTATGCGGATGATACTCGGGTGATGTATTCCTTCCATCCTTCAGACATAGTGAATGGTTGTCAGAAAATTGACCTTGATAGAATTTTCAAAATATCTAAAGCAATGCTGTTCGGGAGGCGAAATGACAGACTTTTTCACCAAAAAAATGTTTGTGTTACTATCACCAACATTCCTGTACACAGTTTTGTGATGTGTTGAAGAATCTTGGGCTCTGGATAGATTACTCATGAAATCCTCTAATATCTAGAAAGTGGTTATTTGAATCAGCACATATATCTATAGTTTTACTCGATTTTCATTAGTTGTCTGCCATCTTTTGTTCTTTTGTCCTGCTTGTCCAAAGGTTGAGTGGAAGACCATATTTGTGCACTCCAGGTGCTCAAGATGAACTCCGCCTTTTCAGTTTGCATAGGAAATGTTGTAGACTTTTTGATATATTTTATTTATTTTTTGTAATCCAGTGATCTACTGAATAAAGAATAATATTATTATACCGTAGTGTGCGCTGGTCAGGCCCTATCCCCCGAAGCCCTGATACATTCGGGAGGGTGCGCCAGCATTATCAACCAATGACCACTCCCCACACCGTGGGGTAAGTGATTATTATGATTATTATTATTATTTCACTTATGTTCCTTATATCAATTGCTTGGTTACTTTTGTTGTATTTAGTTGTTAACTACATGTTTCTCTTCCTCAAATGCTGTTTCTATCTGAGGATTTTGAGGTTTCTAATTTCTCTACAGTATAAACTGTATTGCCAACAGAAAGTTTATTTTCTTTTATATAACTTCGTTCGATACTAATTTTTCTGGCGTTTAGAAAAACCTCTTAGTATTTCAATTCGTTCTCAGACCTGTCGGTCTGTTAGATCATTGGCAATTCTGATATGGGAACCTTTGAGTTTGGAACAGTTTTGTAGTGGTATAATTTTTTTCGTTTGATATGATACGTATTTAACCTCCAAAGGAGGTGTTTTTGAAGTTCCTAATGAATATAAATCATTTATATGTGTGTCAATCATTTCCACGTTTAATAACCGATTAATTTCTTTACAGAAAAATGATGAATTTTTTTTACTGGGTATTTCGTCAAGACCGAATACTATATTATCATTTTTTTGTTATCTCTTTCCAGGTTTTCTATTTTTTCCTTCGGTTGTCAATTTTCAGTTCTTAATTTGGTGATTTGAGACTTCAGGTTTTCTTCTTTCAGAGAAACGCGTATTCACTGGTTTCGATTAAACTCTTCAGTTCCTTTTTACTTTCTGTTATTTCATTTTAAATATCTTCCAGGGTCACGACGTCTTGGTTACTTGACATTTTCTTGCCATTGGTATACATAAGTGTTACCCCCTCCCTATCTAACTCGTTACTGCTGGACTCTTGTTAGGAAAATCGCGGGGACACGTCAATTTTTTATTTCTACAATGTACATTTGAGTATGAACAGTTCATCCCTAATTTCATCCCTTACTGGGAGGAGCAGGAATACTGGGTGACCGCATTATAGGTCCGTTATTCATTGACGAAAATCTGACTGGTGCCCTCTATTTGGAAATGCTGGAAACAGTGGTAGATCCACTGATAGTGGCAACTGTCGAAAATAATTCGTACGAATTTGACGTGTACATTATTCTGCAACAAGATGAAGCTCCTCCTCATTTTGCAGTTGCTGTGAGGACTTATTTGATACGGTTTATGCAGGACGATGGATCGGGCGCCGAGGATCTGTGGAATGACCTCCGAGGTCACCAGAGGTCACCAGATCTAACTCCTTTAGATTTCTTCCTTTGGGGTTACTTCAAATCTAAAGTCTACACGACTCAATGTCACTATTCAGGAGTTGTGTGCGCGGATTACGGAAGTGTGTGCAACAATTACTCGCGATACTTTGCAAAGCGTCAGGATTGAAACTAAATATAGACTATATTTTTGCCAGGAGAACATTTTGAACATTTACTGTAATAACAGAAAAAGTTAGTGTTAGATACTTGCCTTCCTGTTTGTGGTGTAATTTTCTGCACGGTTGAATAGAGAATAAAACCACCTATCAAATGAGCTATCACTCACCACCCCATGCTACTTAAATTTTTTGAAAGGGTTGCTCCCCTCCAGTAAGGAATGAAATTAGAGGTGAATTATTCATACAAAAATGTACACTGTAGAAATAAAAAATCTACGTGTCTCGGCGATTTTCCTAATAAGAGGTCAGTTATGATTTAGGGGGGGGGGGTAACAGTTATGATGCGCACTGTATATTTGATTAGAGTAAGCTCATGTACTAACGTCGGATTATAATTTCAAATTTTTTTCTGTCTCAAAATGAGTCTCTTCTGAGTTTTCACTTGTTTTTGTTGCAGCAATTAATTTTATTTACAAAAAAGTATAATTATTTTGTTATACGGGATCAAATTTTGAATAAATCTAAAAACGATAAGAAACTTCCATATGCTGCTGACTTTATGTGTGACACTGTATATTGTCAACACCTGTGTATAATAATATTCTTTCTAACCCATATACGATTCAGATTCATATGAGGTCACAATTTTTTCATGTATTTACTAATTAGCGTCCTCTTATTGTCACATTCCATTTATTGTTCTTTCCGAAACTTTTTTGACGTAATTTTTAACTTTGTGCCTAACTCATCCCAATATTTCAGTTTTAGTATATTGAAGACTTCTTTCGTTTTCATTACCTTTGATTTAAGATTTTTTTCGAATGTTTTTTTGGACAGTGGAACTTCGATCTCTCAACATTCATTGTACTGAATATACACCCTGTATATCAGATTCTGCGTCAGTAAGAGTACCTTCAAAACACCGAAACAGAAACAATAGCGATAATGAATCGTCTAGTGCGAGTACCCTAAAAACATTACGTCAAAAAACTGTTATATAGCATGAAATCAAATCGCTGTGTTTCACTTTCAAAAAGTACGTCAGCGAATTACTCCTCGACAAAGCGCATGAGCGTCGAAAGTAAGTACAAACCGTAGGAACCGCGCTCAATACACTCAGTATCAAGTAGACTTGGGTGAGCGCAACGTGTTGTGGTGCCCAAGTTAGTACCGATCAATTCATTCGGCAAATCTAAGTGAAAATTCCAGCGATCGCGAAGACTTTTACACATTCAGTGCACGGACAGAGACGTTCGGGATAAAATCCGGGCGGTACTTCAAGTGAATTGTGCGTGACCGTTTAAAATTCCGATTTCGGTGAAGTGAAAGTGGCCCGGAGAAAGTTCGAAAAATGGATTCACCGCAAATGTACGACAACCAGCAGCACCAACAGGCTAGTGCGGTCATCAGTCAGGACGCTAAAAAATCATCTGTGATCATGAACAATAACAATAACCTTACGACGCTAAACAACAACAACGGTAGTTCGAAGCAAACGCAGGCGTTGCTGAAGCAGCATCAGCTGCAGCAGTACCAGTCCCACGGCGAGCTGAGCGATCTCAACACCCCCGAGATATCGCTGGACCTGCAGAACCTCATCGACGACAGCCAGTTCAGTGATGGGTTATTCACCGAGATTATGTCTAGCCAGGGAAAGCACATTCAAAATTTGCAGACCAGGCAGGTGATGGGGGTGCACAACAACAACTACCCCCGCACCACCCTTGCGTACATGCCGCAGCCAGTTCACAGTGGGGCGACCTACTCTGCCACGCAGAACTCAAACAGCGATTCTAACAGCTCTGTAGGCAGCGATGTTCCCAGCATCAAGGAAGAGCCTGTGGACCCCCAGGAATACAGGCGGCAGTCCTGCAACCTCATACCTAACAGCTACTTGCCCGGAGCGTACAACCAAAACCCGGGCGCCACCTTTACGAACCTAACCCCCAGTCCAGTAATCCATCACCAGCTGAACATGAACGCCATGAAGAACAAAGCAGCTTTGATGAATCAGCACAACATAGCGAGAAAAAATATGAAGCCCTGCGATAAAAACAGCGATGAATACAGGCGAAGGAGGGAGAGGAACAACATCGCTGTTCGGAAGAGCAGGGAAAAGGCAAAAGTTCGCACCAGGGAAACGGAGGAGAAAGTTAAAATTCTCATCAAAGAAAACGAAAGGCTACAAAAGAGGATAGAGTTGCTCACGGAGGAGTTGAACGTGCTTAGGAGTCTTTTTTCCAGCGTTGGGGTTCTGCCAGAACATGTACACAGGGAGATAAATAAGCACCTGGACTCTTTCCAACTTCAACAGCAGCAACAACAGATGTAAGAATTTTGTGAACCTATTTTTCATTTTTTGCACATAGCCCTGATTCTTTCCTGAACTAATATCCCACTTTTGCTTCTGCAGGTCTGAGGAAAACAGGCAGAGGATGATGGAGATCGTCCACGATTACGGGCCGTAGCCTCCAAATTAGTTGTGTTAGTTGTAAGAACCGAGAGCTTTAAATTTTGAACAAAATTTGAATGACAATTGAGCCTTGGAAAGGCTGATTCGAATGTCCTGAAGAGTCCCTTGAATCTTAAAGATTCTCTTAGCATATGTCGCTCGATCTCCTTCAAATTGACTTTGCAAGAACATGTTAAGGTGTTTGATGCGGATTTTATGCAACAGATGGCGACCACTTGAATGAATGGATTTACTGATCTGATACATCGAATTTTGCGTCCCCATTTGTTGCACAATATTCGCAGATTTTTTTTAACGGGTATTAAAGTACGTTAGAATTATTCCGTTCTATTTGTGATCAATAAAAATGTAATATATTTTAAAACTGACGAATGCGTACCTTTTCAGATTTATTTAAAGAAGCAGAATTTTGAAAATAAACCGTCGCATGAGCTTTGCTCAGAAATTGTTGAACGAAGTCAACGGCGGTCCAGATTTGCTCGAAAGGGTCATCATTGATGGTAATGACATCGACACTAAAGTTCAATCGTCCTAATGGAAAAGCCCAAGAGAGCCAAGACCAAAATAAGTAGGTACGTCAACTTCGATCAAATGTCAAGATTTTGCCCATTTTTTCTTCGACTACCGTTACGTAGTGCATCGGGAGTTCTTGCCACATGGTCGTACGGCCAATAAGGAGTAATACAAAGAAAACGTCCGGTATTGTGCTCACTTGTCATTACTTGTTCCTGATTTTTTGGCAAAAAACAACACTGTAATTACATCTCAGCTACCGTATCCACCAGATTTGAAACCCTGCGACTTTTTCCTTTCCCAATATTGAAGAAACTCATGAATGGACTACATTTTACGACGATTGAGGAGATATAAACCGAATCGTTGGGAGAGCTCAGGGATTTATCAAAAAGAGAACTGGAGGAGGACTATCTGAGGGGGACTACTTTGAAGGAGACTTCCATACCTACTTTGATGTTCAAAGAAATAGTCACACAATTGAATGATTGAAATTGATGATTGAATATAGATTAGTTAGCTTGAGCATTTTGTGCATATTATAATTGTCCTTCATACTACATTGTTTCAAATTCGATTCCCACCATTGGGATCTCGGAAACTATGAGAGAAACGAAGATGGTTAAATCAGGGCAAAGTTGCGCATTTTCCTGACTAACAATATGTCGTTGAGAAATTTCTAAAATTCCGGGTATGTCCGGAGATATCTGGAAAAAAAAGAAATTTCGGATAATTATTTTAATTTTTTATGGC